TATAACATTCATCATCCACACACAACATTGAGTACACTATCAACTTCATAAAGTGGTAGAAATGTTAATAAAGTAAAACAGTGCTAATTGTTTACTAAAATTAACATTCAAACTAAAAATAGTAATCGATCAGACTCATAGAAATGAAAATTAGTACGCTTTTTTAGCTTTTTCTTAATAAATGATAGTCTTCAAGCAGTTTGAACACATTTTGCTCTTTCAGTTCAATAAGTAATTCAACTTCTCTCTCACGCTGTTGTTTCAAAAGTTAAAATTGTCAACCTCGTGATCATTATAATAATAAACTTTTTAGAATATTCTAATAAATGACTACAGTGATTGTGGATTTACTTCATGTAGAAATCCTTTTTTAAAAGAAATACTGTTTTAATTAATGTTAATTAAAACTTATTTATGTGATAGGATTCATAAGAATATCACTCAACAGCTAGGTATCGAAAATATGTCGATTAATTTTGTTCATTTTGATAAAATGTTTTAACTAATGGGAAGAATTAAATGGTATTTTTGAACAAAAAAAAAAATATAAAATAATCTATAATAACATTTGTATCATTGTTGTTTTGTTTTTTTCTACTTAATTTGCTTAATTATTTCGATTTTGTAAAACTAACCTGTTTTCCTAGAAGAATTAAATCCACATTTTCTTTTTTTGCAATTGCAGAAATTAACTTTGAAACAGCTAATGGTTGTAACATTTCATAATCTTTGCCTGAAATTTCAACATGTATAGCTCGATCAGCACCTAATGCTAAAGCTGTTCGAAGTGTTTCCTTGAAATAAAAAAAAAAATATATTTTTTTTAATTTTCTTTAAAAAAGAAGAAAAATCACACATTTTTTCATACTTGACATTGTGCAGGTCCACATGAAACAGCAATAATTTCTTGTGCAATTTTTTTTTCTTTTAATCGTATAGCTTCTTCAACAGCTATTTCATCAAATGGATTCATTGAATGTTTAACACCATCAGTAACAACTCCTGTTTTATCTGTTTTAACTTGTATTTTCACAGCATAATCAATAGCACGTTTAACACCAACTAAAATACGTATTGCCATCTGAAAACAGAATACATAACAATTTTATTTTCTTTTTTTATAGGAATTAA